CTGCAGGCAGGGAGCCTCTGCTCACAGCTCAGTCTTTACCCTGAGATTTCATCTCCCTCGGGGCATCAGCTCTTTGTCCCACCTTTCCTTTCCCTGCCCTGGGAATCCACCCAGCACCAGCTCTGTCTGGCCTTTTTGTGCAGGGCTGTCCCACAGCTGCAGCACCCTATAGGTGTGACTGTCCTGTGGCTCAAAGCCAGGCTCCCCACTACACCCCTTTACCCCTTTCTTGCCCTCATGCATCCTCTGAGTCCCCATCATCCTCAGCTATGCACCCCACGGGCACTGGGTACCCCTCAGCCGTGCTATCACCATCTGCTCCCCCAACTCCTAGCAGGGCAGCTTTCCCAGCAGAGCAGTCTCAGAAAGGGCTGATTAATCCTTCAGAAGGGTCTTTTTAGATGCCAGGCTCAGATCTTGGTTATGCTGTGGACGTATTTCTTCCTGGACCTGTGCAGGCATCTCGGCCACTGAGGGACCCAGCTTCACCTCCCTGCCGCAGGACAGCCAAGCCAAAGGGATGGCCAGCTTTGCAGTGCATTGACCACGCAGGACCTGCCCGCAGCAACCTTCACAGGAGTCATCAGAATAACTAGCAGAAGCTCCATCACGGGCTCTGGAAGGCAGCTCTGGGACTGGGGATGCTGGAGCCCAGGAGGTCACAGCGCTTCTGCCCAGCAAGAACCAGTGTTGCCCTGGCAGCACGCTGTGCCCTCTGCTTGTCCCTGGGGCACAGTCATGCTCCATCCAGGCTCCTGGTTCCCCAGGTGGAGCAGGTTCCTCTGCTGCCCTGGTTCAGCAGATGAGGACAAAGCCTGGATCAAGTCGGGTCCCAGCAAGGAGACCCTGCTTGCAGAGGTCCCCCATCCCTGCTGGTTTTGGAGGCACCACCCCTTGGTGCTGGGCACAAGGCCCGTGCACCAAGGGTAGTGCTCAGGTAGCCCAAAGGGATTATACCGGTCCCAGTCCATAGTGGAGGTTGGGACCCAGAGCCTGTGGCAGCCTGGGAAGGGTAAGAGCAGGGGTCAAGGCTTTCCAGTTTAGCACCAGCTGCCCCCATATATTGTTCTTAAACAAAGCTCCCGTGGGGTCCCTCGTGTCTTTGGCCGGCAGGGGACCACAGCCCCTCCAGGCCAGTGTACCCAGTAGAGCACAGAGCACAACCATGGTCTTTATCAGCACTTTCACTTCACCTTACAGGGCTCCATGCTTTGTTTTCCATACACACAGGGCCGTTTGCACAAGGAGCTCCAGACTAAATGCAGGGCATTGGGGATTTCTTTAAAACATCATCTCCCAGCCCTACACAGCCGAATAAAACGCTGTCACCACCTCCCACTGCTCTTGACCAGCAGCACCAGGGATGCAGCCCCTGCCCAGCCAGCCCAATGGAGGAGGACAGGAGATGGCAGAGCACCCAGGAGAGCTTGGCACTGCAGCCTTGTCCACACTGAGGGGAGCGCAGGCTGCAGACCAGGTGCTTGCTCAGCGCTGACGGAGCAGTTCACTTTGCTCCTACCACCTAAAGCCGAGCATCTCCTGGCAGCAGCCAGAGACAGCCTAGATTAAAATTCACCTGCAAGTCTTGGATCTCTGGCCACCCTGGCAAAAGCCAGCCAGGTTCTGGCAGCCCGGCACCCAGCTCAGCCAGCAGTAATAAGGCTTCACAGCTGGTTCAGCTCCAGCAGTTTGTGCCCGAGGGCCACAAGCCTGGCAATGCAAATGGAGCACTTTCATGCAAGCCCACAGAAACGGTCCCACCTGCAGCCTGGAGTGAGTCACCCCACCTGGCAGAAAGCAACAGTCAGCTTTTCTTAGACAAAACTATCACGGTAGATGTATTGCTCACATGCAAGGCTTCTTCATACTACAAAGCCAACTTTGGTCAAGTACAGGAGCAGTCAGGTCCCCTCTTCCTTTCCCCACCCCTGGGTCCCTTATGCAGGTAGCACAGCACAGGCTGTGCCTAATGATGCCAGGAGCCCCCAGGCCACTTAGACATGAGCTCTCAGGGGTGCTAGGGGCCACACACCAAGCTCTTGCAGGAAGACCCAGGTCCTTTCTGCAAGAGCAGCGTTACTCCCAACATGCAGCTTTTCCTAACAACTGAACATAGAATGGCTTGGGTGTGAAGGGACCTTTAAAGATCATCTAGCCCAGGCCCCCTGCAATGAGCAGAGACATCTTCAAGGAGATCAGGTTGCTCACAGCCCCCTCCATCCTGACCTGGAACATTTCCAGGGACATGGCATCCACCACTTCCTGGAGTGCTTTCCCACAGGGATGGAGGTGTAAGATACCAGTAATGGCCCCTCTCCTCCAGTTCCAACATCCACACTCCTCCCTCTCTACCAGTTCTTGACCCATACCCCACCCTATCCCCGGGTTCCCACCGCCACATCCCTCCCTCTCCCCGCGTTCCAGCAAGGAAGGACCCAGGTCCAGCCCCTCTCAGTATCCCCCGTGTTTTTATATTTCAGAGGGACCCCAGGGGCCCAGCTGCCCTGCTCAGAAGCAGAACCAGGGGAGGCAGCGCGCATGGTCCCCTGAGCCCAGCTCTTCCTCCTGAGCCCTCTCCAGTCATGGTAGGTCTTCACTGGTCTCTGGTGGGTAGCAGGAGCTGTGCCCGTTGCTGTCCCACTGCCCAGACAGGCTCTGGACTCGCTAGTGGGGCACAGGACAGGCTCAGCAGAGCCAGGGACCTCTGGGGCCCTGCTGCTGCTGCTGCCACAGCCACGATGATAGTGGGCCACCCCAGCATGATCATTCTCCACCTGCAGGCAGGGAGCCTCTGCTCACAGCTCAGTCTTTACCCTGAGATTTCATCTCCCTCGGGGCATCAGCTCTTTGTCCCACCTTTCCTTTCCCTGCCCTGGGAATCCACCCAGCACCAGCTCTGTCTGGCCTTTTTGTGCAGGGCTGTCCCACAGCTGCAGCACCCTATAGGTGTGACTGTCCTGTGGCTCAAAGCCAGGCTCCCCACTACACCCCTTTACCCCTTTCTTGCCCTCATGCATCCTCTGAGTCCCCATCATCCTCAGCTATGCACCCCACGGGCACTGGGTACCCCTCAGCCGTGCTATCACCATCTGCTCCCCCAACTCCTAGCAGGGCAGCTTTCCCAGCAGAGCAGTCTCAGAAAGGGCTGATTAATCCTTCAGAAGGGTCTTTTTAGATGCCAGGCTCAGATCTTGGTTATGCTGTGGACGTATTTCTTCCTGGACCTGTGCAGGCATCTCGGCCACTGAGGGACCCAGCTTCACCTCCCTGCCGCAGGACAGCCAAGCCAAAGGGATGGCCAGCTTTGCAGTGCATTGACCACGCAGGACCTGCCCGCAGCAACCTTCACAGGAGTCATCAGAATAACTAGCAGAAGCTCCATCACGGGCTCTGGAAGGCAGCTCTGGGACTGGGGATGCTGGAGCCCAGGAGGTCACAGCGCTTCTGCCCAGCAAGAACCAGTGTTGCCCTGGCAGCACGCTGTGCCCTCTGCTTGTCCCTGGGGCACAGTCATGCTCCATCCAGGCTCCTGGTTCCCCAGGTGGAGCAGGTTCCTCTGCTGCCCTGGTTCAGCAGATGAGGACAAAGCCTGGATCAAGTCGGGTCCCAGCAAGGAGACCCTGCTTGCAGAGGTCCCCCATCCCTGCTGGTTTTGGAGGCACCACCCCTTGGTGCTGGGCACAAGGCCCGTGCACCAAGGGTAGTGCTCAGGTAGCCCAAAGGGATTATACCGGTCCCAGTCCATAGTGGAGGTTGGGACCCAGAGCCTGTGGCAGCCTGGGAAGGGTAAGAGCAGGGGTCAAGGCTTTCCAGTTTAGCACCAGCTGCCCCCATATATTGTTCTTAAACAAAGCTCCCGTGGGGTCCCTCGTGTCTTTGGCCGGCAGGGGACCACAGCCCCTCCAGGCCAGTGTACCCAGTAGAGCACAGAGCACAACCATGGTCTTTATCAGCACTTTCACTTCACCTTACAGGGCTCCATGCTTTGTTTTCCATACACACAGGGCCGTTTGCACAAGGAGCTCCAGACTAAATGCAGGGCATTGGGGATTTCTTTAAAACATCATCTCCCAGCCCTACACAGCCGAATAAAACGCTGTCACCACCTCCCACTGCTCTTGACCAGCAGCACCAGGGATGCAGCCCCTGCCCAGCCAGCCCAATGGAGGAGGACAGGAGATGGCAGAGCACCCAGGAGAGCTTGGCACTGCAGCCTTGTCCACACTGAGGGGAGCGCAGGCTGCAGACCAGGTGCTTGCTCAGCGCTGACGGAGCAGTTCACTTTGCTCCTACCACCTAAAGCCGAGCATCTCCTGGCAGCAGCCAGAGACAGCCTAGATTAAAATTCACCTGCAAGTCTTGGATCTCTGGCCACCCTGGCAAAAGCCAGCCAGGTTCTGGCAGCCCGGCACCCAGCTCAGCCAGCAGTAATAAGGCTTCACAGCTGGTTCAGCTCCAGCAGTTTGTGCCCGAGGGCCACAAGCCTGGCAATGCAAATGGAGCACTTTCATGCAAGCCCACAGAAACGGTCCCACCTGCAGCCTGGAGTGAGTCACCCCACCTGGCAGAAAGCAACAGTCAGCTTTTCTTAGACAAAACTATCACGGTAGATGTATTGCTCACATGCAAGGCTTCTTCATACTACAAAGCCAACTTTGGTCAAGTACAGGAGCAGTCAGGTCCCCTCTTCCTTTCCCCACCCCTGGGTCCCTTATGCAGGTAGCACAGCACAGGCTGTGCCTAATGATGCCAGGAGCCCCCAGGCCACTTAGACATGAGCTCTCAGGGGTGCTAGGGGCCACACACCAAGCTCTTGCAGGAAGACCCAGGTCCTTTCTGCAAGAGCAGCGTTACTCCCAACATGCAGCTTTTCCTAACAACTGAACATAGAATGGCTTGGGTGTGAAGGGACCTTTAAAGATCATCTAGCCCAGCCCCCCTGCAATGAGCAGAGACATCTTCAAGGAGATCAGGTTGCTCACAGCCCCCTCCATCCTGACCTGGAACATTTCCAGGGACATGGCATCCACCATCTCTGGGCAACCTGGGCCCATGTCTCACCACCCTCAGCATAAAAAAATTTCTTCCACATATCTATTTTAAATTTTCCCTTTTTTAGTTTGAAGCCATTTACCCATCACCATGAACAGACTCCTTCTTTCAAGCCCAGCAAGAGTTCAAGGCAGCCTTGTTTCCACCTCCCTCAGCCACCCCACCAGAGCGTGACAAGCCAGGACCACCTAACAGTGTCAACTCCATCAGCCATCACTGCCAACTCATGCCTGGTCTGGAAACAGAATTAAACACTTTTAGACTAGGATAGTAATCAAATCAGTTTAATATGTAGTCAACATACTGTAAATGCATCTCAATTCTACAGTATTGCGATCAGCCGTGGCCATCAAGCCCAGGAGACCACCTTTCTAGAAAGGCACAGAGAGGTAGGAGAGTTGGGGCATTTCCCCAGATTAGTTGCAAGTGAGAATGTGCACGTGGGACCTTCCTCCCGGAGGCCCAAGACAACCAGAAATGTGTGCTTTTTGAAAGGAGTGCTAATGTGCTGGGAGAAGTACAGGCACCTGGAGTAACAGCCGAGGCCTCCTGCTGACTGGCAAGTCAGGAAACTTTAGCCTATACGAAAAGAAAAATAAAAAAGAAGGGAGGGGACAGAAGAATCTGACTGTGTGTGCGTGAAGGGCATTTGGTGAGGCAGGAGCAAGAAAAATATATAAGGTTGCTTTTGCCCTTGGCCAGGGACAAGGGCTGTTATTTGCATTGCTTTGGACTCCGTTACCACCGCAGGGGCAAGGGAGAAGAAACATGTCATCCTCTGGTATTGCCACCATGTTTTTTTGCACCAGCAGAACAAGAGCAAAGAAAGCTCTGGAGCAAACCGAGCATCTAGAGTGGGGACAATGGTGTCACCAAGAGTTTGGCGCATCTTCTGTGGCAGCTGAAGTGGGAAGTGGCACCACAGTGGTCTCCTCGTGGCAGGGGGAAGCACGGAGCCCTGCGGCTCTGCAGGAAGGCACTGTTCGCTGGGGTTGGCAGCTCTGGAGATGCTAATTCTCAAATTTTGCATAAGGATTCTCCTCCTTGAACAGGCCTAGAAGAGAAGAGAGGTTCATTCAGACAGCAGCTGCCATGCCAGGCACAGCCTGCCAGAAACCTAGTTCTTGGTAACACGTCTTCTTTTTGTGCTTCACCCAGCCTCCTGTCCTGCAGTCCTTCTGAAAGACCTGCTCTCACTCAAGCTGTGCCTGCAGTCAGCACTATTTCACTCTCTTCCTCTGCACAAGAGGAAAGATCCATTAAGAAGCTTGACCTGATGGCAAGCTCCTCTCCCAGGCAGTCCAGGTACAACTGCTCTCCCAGAGCATCCCTTCTGCACGCTCCTTCTGTTGGACTGGGCTTGGAAGCAGAGAGCCCAGACCCAAATTTGTCATGGTTTAACCCCAGCCAGCAGTTAAAACTGTTCTTAGACTTGGTCCCCTGCTCCCACATCCCCAGGTTGGGAAACAGCAAGGCAGGGCGTGGGGCTGACTTCTGGGCCTGTGATGAGACCCCGTGCCACTCTGTTGGCCGCTGACCTCTGTGGTCAGGCTGCAGCAGAACAGAGCCCCAGCAAAGCAAGACAGTCCTAGAGCACAGCTCTTCCGCGAGCAGGTGCTTCCCCCACCAAGGGCTCCTTCAGGCCCTGCTCTTCCTCCCCCAGAGAAGCCAGCCCAGCCAGACACCTCTGGCTCTCCTGCCCAACCTGGACCTGCAGTGGGCAGCAGCTGCAGGCAGAAGAAGAGTCTCCAGCTTTCCCTACAGCCCTCCTCCAAAGCCAGAGACCACCATGCTCAGTGTCCATGAGCCCAACTGCTCCCCCAGCCACCCTGGGAGAACCCCCCCCCCAGCTCCAATGGGCAGGCAAGAGATACCCCTCCACCAGCTCCCAGCAACTGGCTGCTCCCCGCTTCCTTCCAAGGCTGCTGCCCCCTTGGGCAGGTCTTCACCCACCCTGGGGCTGTGGGACTCCCCTGAAGGACAGTCCAGCCCCAGAAGGGAGCAATCCTCCCAGAGAACCGCTGCTGGCACAGAGGGCCAGCCCTGCTGTCAGGCTGGTGTCTGGTCTCTGCTCCTGAGCTGTGGGCACCCGGGCTCCCCAGCCACTCGCTGGCCACAGGGCTGCCGCAGGGCCATGGCTGAATGGCAGCAGCATCCTGGCTGGTGCTGTGCCTACCAGCTTCTGCTTCGCTCCCCCAGTCAAGCCCTGTCCACTTCTCCCATGTGGTGAGTTCAGAAGATGCAGGTCCCAGGGAGTGTTAAATGCTCCCTCTTCCCCACCCAAGAGGGCCAGCACTTGTGTGGGGTCACACACCATGACCCAAGCATCTCGACACTCGCTCCCAGAGGGCAAGAGAGCAATTCACTGAGATGTGGGAAGCAGAGACCGGGTTCTCCCTGCTGGCCAGGTCTCTTCTGCAGCTGTAACCATAGCAAGGAACACAGTCACTGGGGCTGCTTGATCTGAAGCTTAGTCTGAATCGCTCACGTCAGCACCGTACCGTATTTTCTTCGGATTTCATCGTGCCGTGATTTCATCTCTGCTCTCCTGCAAGAAGCAAACAGAAAACCCATGAATCAGTGACTAGTGATACAAAACCAAGCAAGAAGAACTACAAGCTCCTTGTTTCTTCCCAACCCAGGGAGCTCCAGGCTGCCAGCTCTGCTCCCCACCACCCACCTCCCAGAGGCACTGGGGACCACTAAAGCCCAGGCACATCAGCAGCCCTCAGGGAGTCGGATACACAGCGTTGTTGTGATGCTACATCCATGAGTCACCCCAGAGAGATGTTGCTCATGAGGTTTACATTTGAGCTAGGGTTGGAGCAGCCACTGACTGCATGTGTGGAGCCCCACGTGCCTCTGGGCATCACATTTGATGGTACGGACAGAGGACAGCCCTGCAGCCCGAGGCAGTGTGGCTCATTCACGGGGGAGCAAGGCCTGTGGGGCAACCTCACCTCTCCTCCTGCCGCACCCGCCGCTTCTCCCGCTCCCTGGCCGCTCTCTCCTCATCCTTGTCTGGCCTGGCAGACAGAACAGCCCGTTAGCAGTGCCTGGCGCTCAGTTCTGCAACAGCACCTGGCTGCATCTGAGCTACTCCAAGAAAACGGGGAACCCCTCCGATACTTGCTTTTTGCTCTTTTTCTTACAACAGCAGCAGCAGCAGCAGACCCCCAACATGATAAGGATCGTTCCTCCCACCACAGACATCGCAATGATCAGGGCTTCAAAGTTCACTGAAGGATTTGACAGAACACATTTAGCACACAAACACATGGCCTGGCGTTACAATATTCACAAGCACACAGCCACGGTCACCAGCAGCGTCAGTCACCGGGCTGGAGACGTGTGTCAGAGCCTGGGAAAGCAAGATGGACATCGTTACCTACAGGAATACCACACGCCGGCACAGCCCGTACACACCAACAGAGAACACGTAGTGCCAACTACAGCACTCAGCTTCTGGCTATGAAGACAGACAAGAACAAATGCACTCGGGTCAAACTCTGGCAGAAACAGGAGCAAAGCTGTCTTAATCACTAACCCAGGTGAAGAGTAACCCATCAGGGAAGGAAAAACCTGGAGGCTTCAGTGCTGAGGAGCAACCTCCAACAGAGAGGCCGCAGCTGCCACTGGAGTGACTGCCCACAGGAGCCAGCCTCAAAGTCATTGGAGATGAGGTGACAGTAGATTGGAGGCACTTATGGGTGTTTGGAGTCCTTGGGTGAGAGACGAAGTGAGACAAAATCCATTGGGATTGATCAGCTCAGGGCCAGCAGTGCTGCTGAAGGTGGATGGCTGCTTCGTGCACCCCACCAGGGCTTGGGGGGGGGGGTCTGCTCATCCAGGCGCAGCACAAATGCTGCTAGACGTGGTGGTGACGCAGCAGCCTCCAGCCCCCCAGGGATGCAGTCATCCTGCTCAGCTCCTGTGGTGACAGCAGCAGAGACATCAGCCAAAACATATCTAGGCAGCACCTGAAATCCTTTGAAACAGAGGGGTTTCTTCCAAGAAACAGACTGTTGAGAGACTTTGGGCCTGTGGAAATATTTATTTAGGAGCCAGTTCACAGGAGCAGCTCTGAGCCTGCTCGGAGCACTTCTGATCCCTCTTCTCCATGGGGCTCGACCCTGAGCCCCGCAGAAAGCCCGAACACCGCACGTGGTGTGTTGCAGGGTGTTTCAGGACGCTCCTTCCCCGCTGCAGGGACTCGGCAGTGCCAGGCTTACGGGAGTGCTCCAGGCCGAGCTGCCTCCACCACTGAAGCTGCTTTCCAAGCCTCCAGCTCCTGCTTCATTGAGAGCTCCATCGCTGCCAACAACAGTGCCCCTCTGAGTCTGAGATCATACTGTGTCCCTACCCAGGCTACCATGGCAAGCACCACACAGGGAATGTGGTTCCAGATGACAACCACAGACAGCTGCCATGGCCTAGCAGGTCACCAGTGAGACCAGAAGCCAGCAAGCCACTCATGTTTGTCCCCACAAACTGCCAGAGAGGCTCACACAGCCTGTCCAGCAGTCACCCACCAGCAGGGAGATCTGCAGGTCCATGCTCCCTGTAAGGCTCTGAGAAAGATGGTACTGAAGACCTGACTGTCCACAGCACTGTCTTGCCTCGCAGCAAGATGAAACTTTCCCTGGCTGCACTGGAACAGACCCATGGAGTCGTGTAGGGGACAGCTCAAAAGCCAAGGATCAGAGGTCAGCCCAGTGGGGGTGAGACAAACCCAACCAGGCTCTTCAGCTCAAAAGGGAGTTTCTCTACCAGCACGTGTATTGGTGCTTCTGACACCTTGGCTTTCAGGGTGAGCTTGGCGTTCAGATCTCCCCTTCCCACACAGAGAGGTCCATGGCAGAGCACCAGGCACTCCTCTGCCTGATGACGAAGGCTTATGTCACACACACTCTAAAAATGCAGACTCATTTAAGAGCTAATCTCCCACAGGACTAATCTCTAAAGCAAGTTTTACAAGCTAAGGAATGCATTCTTCTATAATGAAACCTTTTGTGAAGCTACGCACATAAAAACTAGTATTTCAAGGTCTTATACAAGTTTCAGAAAAGCACACTGTAGTGCTCACAAAGGGGAGATTCTTCCTCCACAAGGTATGGGAGTGGTTTTAACGCTCTTGTGGGCAGAGAAGAGAGACCAGCCCCAAGCACAATAGATCTCAGGCGACCACAATTCAACTCCATCAAGGGGACAGGTGAACGAAATCAAGCCCCAGCTTGCTTCCAGCTACCCCAGCCTCCAAAAGCTGGGTCCTGTCTCAGCGTGAGCCTGCTTGGTCTAAACAAGACTCTGATCTCTCCTCAAACCCACCAGGGAGGGGGATGCTAAGAGCACCAAGGAGGACAGGCAGCCAGAGAAAGTTTCCAGAGCCGACCTGGCTGCTGGCAGCCAGCTGCAGCACAGCTTATGCAGGGCTAGCTTTGGAAGAGGGCATTTTCTCAGGTGGGCAAGAGCTGAGCGCTGCAGGCTCAGCAGTAGAAGTCCATGCAGGCCTCCAGAGAAGTCATCTCCCTTCTAGTCCCAAGAGCCCCTGGTGAATTTTAAGAGCTTGCCTGGGACAGCAGCCACACTGCTAAAGGTGAAGAGCTGGAGCCCATGCAAGGAACGATGCACAGGGCGCAGAGGAGAGAGCTGCTGAGGAGTCACCAGTGTCTGTGCTTCGAGCAGCGGGGAGGGCTGTGCAGGCAGCTGCCCGCAGAGCACCTCTGACTGCCCTCCCTGTGCACTGGCTCCATGTGGAAGCTTCCATCACACCAAAGCATGAGGCACGTGTTTAGAGCAGCTAAAGCCCCACAGGTCTTCCTGCCAGAAGGCAGGAAGCTGCTCGCACTCTGCTTTCTCGCCCACGCTTCAGGAAGTTTGCAGAACCCTGACAGACTCCAGCCTGTCAATTCTACGCCAGCAGTGAGAAAGGGAGACAAGGAAAGCCTCCCATTAGCACCAGTGGCAGTCAGTGCCCTGGGCAGCAGGCACTGGAGGCAGTTGTCCCTGGAGCACAATCCACTTACCCCAGCAGACTCCCCAGCGCGCAGAGCGGAGCTCACAGAGGTCAGCCCGGGGGAGGACTCTTCGCACGGGGTACTCCACGCACCTCCTGCTGCTGGCACACCACAGGCACTGGGACACAGCAAGAGCACAGCATTACTGGTGTGCAGCAGTGCTGCCAGCTAGCCGTGGCAACAGGGCCACCACGGCCTGCTCCTGAGAAGCAGGTACCACCAGGCAGCAATAGGATGCTCGGGAGCAACCCCTGTGTTTGGTCAGCATGGGCTGCATGGTCAGGGTTGCTGGCACCAGGAGAGGCAGGCAAGGGGAGTGCAGATTTCTAGGGCACCTGAAGATGCCAAGAACCCTTCTCCTAGCTTGCATGACAGTAGTAATGGCCAAATCCTTCATATTTATTACACACGGCATTTTTGGGATAACAAGAAAGCCTTAAGCCACTCAGCACAGAGCTGATGAGCAGGAGAGGTTTGGGTGAGGAAGGACCTTGCTGGTCCTTCCCAGCCAGACTACCCACAGCAGCTTTGTGCCCTCCTCTCCTGGTGGCTCCAACCCCAACGCCAGCCTTCCGTTGGGTTTGGTCAAACTGGTTCTGGCTAAGTCAGTTACGAGATCTGACTCAGGCTGAAGTTTGCTGATATCAGAGATAAGGTGGTGGGGGAGGTTGGCAGGACACAGGTATGCATCCCGCACCCACAGACCGGTGGAGGGGCAGTTGACCGGCCAGCCCAGCCCACTCAGCTCCTTCACCGCTGTCCCCCCGGCAGAGCCTCCAACCCGTGGAGAGGAGCTCATTAGTTCCATCTCTCCACTCGAAAGGCATACAACAAACCCCAAGCACGCACTTTCTAGCAACCTCTTCCCAGAGCACCCAGAGCCGGGGGCATTTCCAGCGTGCTCAGGAGAGGGGCAGGGGAGCAGCCCCCCTTCCAGGAGGGAAGCTGCCCCGTAACAGTCCTGCAAAGCCCACACCACCTTTTCAGGCATTGCAAGAGGCTGGGGGTTTTACTGCTCCTACTTACGGTGACATTTTTCAGACACTCTTCACAGCTCTTGTTCGTGTACTGGCGACAATCTACGGGAAGGAAAAGGAAAGACACCACAGTACTTTGAAGAGATTCTCAGTGGTTTAAAACTCCGAGCTCCTCAGAGCCTGCTCCTGCCCATGGCTTTGCCCGCTCCGGGAGGCGTTTGCTCCCATCAGACCAGCATAAGGGATGGTCTGCTGGGGGAACTGCCAGCTCCAAAACACACTCGGTGTCACGGTGGGAGGCCCAAATGCAAATGGAAGTCGACTGCCTCACCCACACGGACCCAAAGCCCTCAACAGTGAGTTCCTCTCCTTAGCTCTTATTTCCCTAAAAGCCTGAGCAGCTGCTGTGGCCAGTGGGACAGCTAGGGGACACAGCTGGGGTCAGTCTGGATGGACCCTGTGAGGACAAGGACAAGCACTGGGCAGGCAGCGCAGTCCCAAATCGCCGAATGATGGAGCAGCTCAAGCAAACAAGCCCCAGACAAGGAAATTACTACCAGGAAAAGCACAGGGGACATGCAGCTATGGTCCCTGTGGGAGCCCACACCCTCCCTCAGCACCAGTGCCACCATGGCCAATGGCATCCCCAGGGGGTGCAGGTCAGCTGGATCAGATCCGAGCACAGGACAAGGTGTCCCAGTCCAGCTGCCTTCCTGGGTGTGCGCAGCTCCTCCCAGCGCTGGGTCTGCAGGACAGTCTTCCTACACAATACTCCCCTGCCATTTCACTGCCATGCTCCCCCAGGCCCTCAGGAAGGGTGGTTTGCCATCCCTTGAGGATCAGCCAGCTAAACCTCACCCCTGCCTAAAGAGTCTAAGCATCAGCCTGTTTGACTACAGTTCAAAAAAAAAACAACCACCAAAACACAAACCAGTTTGCCTTACTACTCAGTAACTGGTGGAAGAAGGATCACTGCTTCAGAGCACCTTAATTGAGGGAAAAAAAAAATCAGTGCCAGAGGTGCTTGTTTTCCACACTCACAAGCAGCAAAGCTGCGTTTTCTCTCTCCAGCTGGCAGGATCCCTCAGCTGTGACCCACTGTCAACAGTCACATGCTCTGCACAGCTCGCCAAACAACTGGGCAATTTATTAACACAGCTCAGATAAGGGTGTTTACACACCAGTCGGAGAGGCTGAGATTGCAGATTTTAAACACTCTAGGAAGCTGCATCTTCCCTCTTTCTCCAGCCCAGGCCGGAAAAGCATCACAGCGCCTGTGCTGCCCCCGAGACTGCTGGCTCACAAGGAGTCACAAAACAGCCTTCTCACACCACAGGAGGCCATTGGCAGGCAAAAAGAGAGCCTGTGGTTTTAACCAGGCTTCCTATTGACACTCTGCTTCCCCTCCGGCACGTCCCCTCTTCTGGCATCCATGGGTTTCACCCTCAGAGCTGTCAAGGCAAAGCCACCCTCTTATAGTGCTGTGGGAACAGGCCACCCCGGGACATAACACCCCATCAGAACTGTGGCTTTGTCCCAACACCCAGTCTCAGGGGACCAGCCCACTCACACAGGACAGCAGAGGAAGCACCACAGTCCTCAGGTACTGGGGTGGGAGAGTGGCTCTTGCTGTGCTAGAAGCCTCCTGGATAACGCTTTTTGCCACTTGGCTACAAGAGAAGTTAAGTGAATGGCTTGGGGTGGAACAAAGGCGGCAAAACACATGCTGGTCCTCTCTCTCCTCTCAACCGGAGCCACCATGCAACCATCAGAGGGCTGGTCATCACGTGAAGAACAGTTCCGCACTCAGATGAGTACGCAGACTTCTCGGAACACCCCTGGAGGTGGCTGTCCCCACCCTTTGCTAGAGTTTCTCCTCTACCTGGCACAGCACCCACAGGGACTATGCTACATCCTCCACCCACCGAGGAGGAGCAGTTGGCCACCCACTGCTCCTCACCCGGCTCTGATGGCACCCACCTTCTTCCTGGTCTGAGGCTCCTCCAGGCAGTCTCCCTGACCTGGACGGGGATCTCCTCCAAAGGGCCATCGGTGGGGGTCTGGCTGCCCAGCAAGTCCCCCCACCCAGGACAGGTACCCAACTCCCACCTGAGACCCGGCCAAGCCATTAGCATCATTAAATGCAGGGTGACGTTGCCACAGCCGCTGGGAAAGGGGCAGGTAAAGCCTCTCTTCCAGCACCCCACCTTCCAGCACCCCAGGCTGCGCAGGGCTGCACCCCGCAGAGCTCCCACTGAGGACGGGACCGTGCTCCCAGCTCCCACAGCCTGTCCCCATCCTGAGTGGTGACAGGGCCCAGTGGCCCCGGTGCCCAGCACACACCCGGAGCGTGGCCCACGGGGCAGCAGCCGGCTTCCCGCACCGGGAGCCCCGCAAAAGCGGGGTCCACAGCCGCCGCAAAGCCCTGATTTTTGGGAACACTCGCCGCCAGGACCTGCTCCCCAGCCCCCGTGGCGCGGCGGGGAGAGCGCCCCGCAGGGCTCCGCACCCCCGGTCCCCGACGGGGCGGGAGGGCCGGCGCGGGGGG